CACAGGGGCGTCAGCAGTCTGGCAAGGCGTGGCGCCATGCCCTTCTCAGCATAGTGAAGCCAGACCCCGTTCTCTTGGGCCCCCCAGCATCGCCAATTATGTTGCAAGATGCAGCTCACAGCCGTCTTCAGTAACAGTAACAAGGGTTTCTATTTCATTTTCAATCAGTCAATCAAACACAAACCAAGTTCTGTATTTGTAAAACATCTGGTTTCCACTGGGAACTGAATAAACGGACTATTACAATGGAATGAGCTTGGAATCGTGACCTGTTGCAGTTATCTACAATAGGACCCAAGTTATTGGTGGTGCTCAAAAAGGATTCTAAGAAAACACTGTTTATGCAGTGTTAGTTAATCTGAGAAAGGCAATCTGTGATAAAATGCTAAAAGGGACATCAGGCGTGTCGTTGGTCAATGCATTCTAACTTGTTCAAAAGCACATAGCCAAAAAGACCCCAATAATTAATTCACTTTTAGAAAAGAACAATTATATACTGCTCTGGTCACACATGTACAACACGGGGTAAACTGTACTATTAAGTACGTAGATAGACATGCACAGGCCCAGAAATAACTGCAAGCAGCATCCAACGTGTTGACTGCCCTTTAAAAGTCTGCAAGCTAAGATTTAGTTGGTGCGCTGCTGTAAACGTCCACTGCGACCACTGCCCAAGCTGGTTTACTTCCGAACGACGACACTCTTCCTTTCCCAACAGTACAAATTCTCACTTACAAGACATGTGAAAAGCAGTGCTGTGGCATTGCCAATCAGATGGGACACCCGGGGTGCAAGTGTGGCTAAGCTGTAGCTGTAGTCGTGTTCAGTCACACGGAGTGGGCAGCAACCCAGCTGGATACTCATGGGTACTGGACAGAGATGCGAGCCGTGTGCGCGTTTGCATCCGGGAGGACGTTACCATTTTGGCAGCCTGAGCTTCTCCTTCAGCCTGGATGATCTTCTGTCTCTGATCCTGCTTGGCCTTCTCCACGTAGAACTGGGCTCTCTGGGCCTCCTGCTGGGCTGGAGAAGAAAAGGAAGCCGATTCACACTCGGGGACCGGACCGACGGGCATGAACTCTGGGGTCCGGGGCCACGCCCTTCCGTAAACTCCAGCTTCACTGGGAGGTCTGCAGGTCGTGCCCGCTACTACCTCTGCCTTCCGGGGGCCTCTGAGCCGTGTGGGATGGATGAGTGTACTTTACACGGTTAAGAAATCTTTACTATATGTAAGAAATCTTTTTTTAAAACTCTTTAAAAAAAAGTCAGAGTGACCCATTACCGGGCACATAAAAAACAATAAGGTGGTACTTGTGTGCCAACCAAATACTGAGACAAAATAACTAAAAGGCTTTATTGGTCACAGCAGCTCTGGCTAATGAAGGCCCGCCCTTCGAAGGACAGAAGCACGTCAGTCTTGGAGTAAAGCCTCCAGTAACCTCTTTGACGTCAATGCGCACGGCAACCATCGGCAACCTGGGAAGCCACTTCCTGGCACACTGACTGAGAGTCGCCACCCTCACCTGCCCAGGGTGACGGAGAAGCAAGCGCTTGGACTGAGCATCGGCTGATAATGGAGCACAGTGGGTACAGGTAAAGGGTGAATACTCAAGCTGGGGTAATTCGTGGACGTACCACTGGGAAGTGTACTAGGAACGCCGATGTTGTCAATTCGTATCAAGGAGTCTAGATCTGGGTCTAGTCAGTAAACCAGTCAAGCTAGAGGACGATATCCAACTGGGAGAACGGGCAGACAACGCGGCGAGCAGCAGCAGCTAGAACTCAAGGAGAGAACGATCCAATCTGAAGATGGGGCACAGGGGCAGACTTTTACATTCACACTGTGTGCAGGCGCGCGCTGGCAGGCTGAAACGTTCGCGGACCGTTCCGAAGCACTCATCCGCGCAGCCTGGAGAGGTGGCACCGCCTCCCCCGGGACGCCCGGATCCCCCCGGAGACGGCCGCGTCGATACCTACCCACTTGCTTGGCCTCCACGGCGGCGGTGTACTCCCGGCTGAAGCTCAGCTCCGTGATGGCCACGTCGTCCAGGATGATGTTGAAGTCCTTGGCCCTCTCGAAGAGCTCGCGCCGGATCAGCAGGGACACCTGCCAGAGGACACCCGTGAGGACCCCGGGGACAGACACGAGCTCTCGGCACGGGCCGCGGCTCCGCCATCCAGCCTCAGAGGAGAGCTCGGCGCCGGATACAGAGCGCTGGCGGGGGGACAATCAGCACCCAGAATGCATACGCGCGCAAGTACAGAACTCTGGGCCGAGCGAGACCGGATACGAGTCTGGCTGAGAGAGCTGCTGTTTCAGAACACGCCGGGAGGGTAAAGGACACAACACACCACTCCCCTCACACACGTTTACAATGGCTGAAATACACAGCGGGGAAAGGCCCGAATCGTCCAACGTAGCGCCCGAGGTACAGCTTGCCCACCGAGCCTCCGCGTCTATTCTAAGATGCGGTCACTCGCCCCGACAGCGCAGACACGGCTGTTAACTGCTGGGGTACTGACATGACACCTCCCCCGGTGGGGACAGAGCCTGTTTCCATGGTGCTGCGTGCTTCACACCTCTCCTGGATCCACAGAGGCTGGGCGTCTGAAGAAAGCACATCCCACTTTGCGCACTTGGGACTCACTGGATTCGAGTTGCACCAATTTAAAGACACATTTTACTGGAGTGATCCCCCCAAAAAATAACTGTCTCCGTTAGTTTGCAACAAAACGCTTGGTCTACTTCACGGTGACTTGGGTGAAGCCCCTTGCTCAAGAGTAACTACAGCACCTGCAACCCGTCTTAGGATTCAAACCCGCAACCCTCCTGGGACGGATCCACAGCCACACCGTGACTGGGACATCCTGTGACTGAGAGACAACCTCTTTCTCTACTCTTCAACCCCTCCAGGACTCTTCTTCTCCCTCTCTGGGCACACTCCAGCTGGTCCAAAACAGACTCAACCCCCCTATTTCCTGCAAAGACTCACACAAGTCTTCTTCAGTTAAGGCCACACTCACACCTGAAATGCCTCAATACAGCCCAAGCATACTCCTACTTGGGGAGTTGTCGCCCCCTTGTGGTTCCTACTGGAACTTAAGGAGGCCAACCTGCAAAGTCAGTACAGTCTTGATCCACTGCACATTTTAAGAGAACCAGGAAACCCACTGGACACAGACTCCTTGGCTTGAAATCCTGGAGCCCAACACTGCTGTCCTAAAGTCTGATCTGGGTCCAACCCTTTCCAGTCAACCATAACGGACACAAACCGTGAAATCGCTGAAAGTGTTTGCCAACGCCCTGCACACTGCCGGGACAGTGAAAGGGCTGCAAAGAGGGAGGCTGACCTGTGCTCTCTGCGTGATGAGCTGCGAGGCGTTGAACTTGGCCACCACGCTCTTGAGAACCTCGTTGACGATGGAGGGCAGGACGCGCTCGTCGTAGTCCTTGCCCAGCTGCTGGTACAGAGCCGGGAGGTTCGAGGCCACAGGCCTGGACAGGACGCGCAGGGCAATGTTGACCATCTGCAGATCTTAGGAGAAAAGAGACACAGCGACACTTGAAACGCGGAGAAACACGGAGAAGTTTAAGACTAAAAGGATTCTGCACACTCCCAACAAGCTGCCACCACATCTGGAAGAGCGTCTCAAAGATTGAAGGAATTTCCTTTGGGTTATTAAAACAAAAATCATCTGTTATTCTTCCTCCACTGACACAGAAGACGTGTAACTTACAAGACCCAGAAGAAACACTCAAGACTGAATGTAGTGGTGCTGGATGGTTTATGATCTTGGCTTCTTGTTTCAAGGTGTTAAACCTGAACATCTAAGAGTAAATGCAGGGTCTCTCTCGCCGGCATGGAAGAGACTCTGTCCAAGGTGCTGAAGACTTTCAGCTCTTCCCCATTTCTCCCAGGCTGTGCGAAATCCACGGGCCTTGTATTTGCTGCAGAAACTCCAGCTTTTAACACAACTCTTTAACTATAGTCTACCAACTACAAGTTTTTTATTTACCCGCAACCATGTTGCAAAGTAATACAGAAAGTAATACGTGCTGAAACAGGAATAAGTGCCATAAGTGTGCTCATGATGCCAAATGATATTGTTTCCGATGTGTTAAAGCAGGGCAACACATACAGCACAGGAGCAAAGAAACCTCCAATGCTACATCAGAGATATTACAGATTAGAAAGCAGGAGTATTACATCCAGACTAACTGTTATACAGTCTGAAAACTCCCCTCATCTACTAGAGTTATTCTTATTTTGGCTAACATTTATCCAGAGCCAAAACAGAGCTGGAGTGATCCAGTAAAAAATAAAGTGTCTCCCCTAGTTTTTGGTCTCCTTCGTGATGATTTGGCTGAAACCCCTTGCTCAAGAGTAACTACTGCACCTGCAACCCCTCCTAGGATTCGAACCCGCAACCCCCCTGGGACGAATCCACAGCCACACCGTGACTGGGACATCCTGTGACCAACAGTGCATCTCTTCAGGGCCTATCTCCTGTTTCACCCGTTGCTCTGTTGAACAACTGAACTGGATCCTTTCTACAAACAGGCACATACATGCAATCCACCTATATTTTTATCTTTCACCACAGCTGCACCTCTCCTGAAAGGCGGCTGCAGCCATATACAGAAAAACCTGTTTGCTCACAGCCTTACAATGACGCATGAAGAGCAGGTGACGTGTTTGGATAATGCTTCCACCTCAAGGATCTGAATTAAGCGATGAAGGCTACGTTTTTCTTAAGCACAAACAGAAATCTGGAGCAGCCAGCTGCCTTCAGAGCAGCTGTGAAGTTTTAGACCCGAGCGATCCTTTCACAAGTACCTTTGCTTCCTGTTAGGGAAGAGATCTTCCGGGGTTTCGCCCTGATATCATAAATGATTGGGTACTGGAACCATGGTATCCTGAAAAAAAACACAGGGAAAAGCTGAAATCAATGTCACAGCTACAACAGCCTAGGGAGGAGTAAAATTACAGCCAGGAATTTTAGGACCGTCAGTTTTGTGCTTCAACAAGGTTTTCTTGATCTCATGCAAGTGCCTGGTATCCCAGCTCTCCTGTTGAGCTTGGATGCCAGATGGCCAACTGCAATAAAACTCTTAACCCACCAGTCAAATAAAAGGGGCATTTAATTTACAGCACAGGGTTCTTCAAAATTCAAGAAGTCGAGGTCAAGACAGGGAGTCCTGAGACGACAACACCAGGCCGACAGACTCTAAATGAGCAGTACAGGCGGTCTGTCAACAGAGAAGCAGCAGCTCCGCCTGCCTGGGGCTCTGTCACAGACCTACACATTTCCCTCTACAAATCCTGCTTCTGCAGGCAAGAGTGCAGCTCAACTTGCCTTCAAGCCACGGCTGCATGATCACACCCAGTACATTTACTTTTCACACCCTTCCTGTGACATCACAGCCAAGGAAAGTCTGGGAAACGTCCATTCCTCTTCCCAAAAGTCCACTGTATGTGTGTACTGGCTACAACTTTTAAAAAAACAAAATGCATTTCCTTCCCCCCCCGTTTGCAAGCCTACATATGTAAAAAGCAGCACACCTCGTTTCCAACAAAGCGTGGCGTCTCCCCCACGAACCTCTCCGAGCCCCGCACTGTGGAGGCTGAATCAGTCTTCCGAGCCCCAGGGGTGACGGGGGTCAGTCTTACCTGAAATGCAGCCCCTCAGCCAACACGGAGTCCTGCATCCCCCCGATCCTGTTGAAGATGATGGCTCTCTGCCCACCTTCAACTGGGAGCACACAGAACAAGCAGGTCAGGATCTCTCCGGCAGGAAGCGGGTCTCTGTGTCGTACGCAGCAGCTAGATGCTTGTTATGACTGTGTTACTATATGTTATACAGTTTTAAAACTATGAGAGAAGAGAGCAGTCTAATTAGCCAAGGCCGTGTAGCTGCTGAGAGAAAGATTTCAGCCCAAGAGAGCAGGAGCGCTGTGTCTTCCTGTGTGGGAAAATCCCGGAAGGGAAAAGAATTCTGGGATTGCAGGCAAACCACCACCACTGAGAAAGGGCAGGATGCGTCGAGCTCAGAGGAGGGGGTCCTGGACTCCTCTTTCCCTCTTCGCTGCCTCCTTCAAAAATGAAAATTTAAAAAAGGTGGAGAGAAGCAAAGCAAATCAGGTGCCTCGCTTCCTTTTTGGACAATCAAATGCCCCTGATCTTTTTCATGCGAGTCTCTTGACATTAAATTCCTCTTTCTATACTCCTACAGCGCTTCCTGCCTGCCGGTCCCATCCCCAGCCATCAGAGCTGACAGGCTTGCAGACGCCTCTCTGCTCTCGCTGTCGCGCCCGTACGCACCTGTGTATGTGGCCTCTTTGACCCCGTAGGCCAGAGCCCCGGCTCCCAGCAGCAGCTTGAGGCCCATGCCGGCTCCCCTGGAGCCCGAGGACATGCGGCTGGCCATGTCCCTGAGCTGCTGCACAAACCTCTGCGGGGCAAAGAGAGCACAGGCTTAGCCAGCACGCCTGTCTGGCGTCCTACTGCCCCCACAGGCAAGGGGGGGGAGTCAAGTCTGACACCGGGGGGGGGGTCAACTCCATCCCTGAGGGTCTCTTGTCAGGACCGTGTGGGAAGACGGAGCCCTTTCTGCTTTTACACACCACGCCGCACCCTTCTGAAAACAGACCACCAGCCTTTGATTGGATTTAGTCCTGCGTTAAAAACTACCACCGCTAAGATGCTGCACTTCATTTCTAGAGACAAGGTACAGTCGTGGCCAAAAACATCGGCACCCTTGCACTTTTGGCAAATAACTCACAGTTTTCTCTAAAAATAAGTTGCAACTGACCAACTTATGTGGTCTCCACAGTTCTTTATTTCACTGTTACTATTACAGAACCGTTGTTTTTGATTCAGGACTTAATCTATCCTTTTAAATCAGAAAATAAAAAGAAACGTCATTGCATTGACAAAATTATTTACGGCCCAGACTGAGTATTTGGTAGCACAGCCTTGTGTCACAATATCTGCAATCAAGCGCCTCCTATGGCCACCGATGAGCTTCCTGCACCTCTGTACTGGCAGTCTGGCCCACCCTTCTCGTGCCACCTGCTCCAGGCCTGCCAGGTGTGAAGGGTGCCCTCTCCCAGCTGCTGTTGTCAGATCTCTCCACAGGTTTCCAACGGGTTTAGATCTGGACTCATTGCTGGTCCCTCCAGAACAGTCCAGTGTTTTGTCCTGCCCCTTTCCCGAGTGCTTTTTGAAGTGTCCGGTGTCATCGTTGAGCTGGAAGACCTATGACCTTCGACGGAGACCCAGCTTTCTGACTCTGGGTATGACATTGAGCTCCGGAATGCCCCGGTGTTCTCCTGATCTCAAGACGCCTTGCACACGCTCAAGGCATCCAGCGCCAGTGGCAGCAAGGCGACCACACAACATCCCTGAACCTCCTCCATGTTTCACTGTAGGGAAGGTGTTCTTTTCCTTGAAGGCTTCATTTCGTTTTCTGTAAACATAGAGGCGGTGTGCTTTACCAAAAAGCTCTAGTTCGGTCTCATCTGTCCACAGGACATTCTCTCAGGAGGATTTTGGCAAATTGCAGTCAGGCTTCCTGATGTCTCTCTCTCAGCAGCGGGGTCCTCCTGGGTCACTGAGCTGGCGAGGGGGGGTGCGTGTTGAGACTGTCGCACCTCGGCTCTGAAGGTCAGCTTGAATCTGTGTGGCAGCTGATCGAGCTGCTTTCTCCACCATTCGAACAACCCTTCGCTACAATCTTCGATCAAGTTTTCTCTTAAACTTCTTGATAACATTACATACGGTGGAAACAGGAACATCAAGGTCTCTGGAGACGGACTTGTAGCCTTGAGATTGTCCACGCTACAAGAGAATGTCTTTCTTTTCTCCATGCTCATTGTGGTCCACACAGTGACACAAAACAGGAGAAAGAGTCCTTTTCTCTATTCTGACTGGCTGAATTAGTGATTTTTATATTGCAGGCACCTGCAAATCACCACAGCTGAGTTCAATTCCAAAGTAAAGGAGAATCACCGGCTTGAAATAGAATTATTTCTAAACGCTTGTAGAAGGTGCCAATAATACTGTCCGGGCCATTTTAGGATTTCTTGTGGAATAAGCTTAGTACTTAGTACATAATTCAGCTTTTTTTGTTTGTTTCACTGCAAACCAAAGCAATACAATGTATAAGAAATACATTTTTAATTTCAGCATTTGTCTGGAAGAAGTGTAGCATTATTTGAAAAAAATGTGCACGGGGTGCCCATATTTGCGGCCACGACAAATCTTTATTGCAAGACGGTTCCTCCGGGTCTCGCCCCGGGAGCAGCCAGCCTGGTGACACAGAGCCGTGCGCGTCTGTTCCGAACCGGCTCGTTCTGGGTTTGAAAATAAAACACAGGTGGGAAATCCGGTGCTTCCAGATACCGCGCAAGTTTCATCGCAAGAATAACATTCGCTCCGGTTATGAAACTCAGCGGCTGAGGTGCCGCTGTGGGCGAGCGCTCCCCCTAGTGGCGGCACCGGGCATCGCCGCGCTGACTTCTTCGGACAAGGCTGGACTCCATATTTACTACATCCAGAACATTCCTTGTCTTGGGGCCGCGGCGGTACGTTAATAACCAACACGTTTACACCAGGTTCCTTGAGGACACACGGATAAGTCAAAGGCAGAGGAAGTCTGAAGGGTCTAATTACAGACGGCGTGATGCAATGTCACCGACCCCCACAGACTCCAGCGAGACGCGCGGTATTGCACCGGTTGCTACAGCGCCGAGCTCTTCAGATCACATATCTGTTAATCAGAATGCTACACACTAGCTTTGAAAAATAAAACAATCCAGTCCTCTACATATCGTACGCGGCCAAGATCCGCTGTCTCTTGTGACCAACAATATGAAGTCTAACACGGCCTCGTTAGTCCAGGCACAAAAAGCAATCCCTCTACAGCATTTACAGCAGTATTACTTTATTCTGCAATTCCACGCATAGACTTAAAGCTCGGGGAACACACGTCTTGAATTATTTGGTAGGTTTATTCTGGGAAAACAAAACCATATTCACGTTAATCAAAAAAAAAAAGATGAAGCCTCAGACAGAATGACATCAAACCGAGCTTGGCGCCACGGTCTTTACGAAAACAAGAATGTAACTATCTTACGGGAAAGCACTAACTCCACGGCAATGTGTTTTAATCGGCAATATTTCCAAATACGTGTGTAATTTCCATACTCACACTGGGCTCCTTATTCGCCATGCTGCCTGCTTCTGTGCTGCGCTCTGCCTCGCTGCAAGGTCAACTCACTGCACTTCCGGCTCCCTAAGAATGGCCCTCTGGGAAATGTAGTTCACCACAGAAGACACGTGATGACGTTATTTTTCTTCTATCGTACTCGCGAACGAAGTGATTTTCAGTAATCCGCACAAACCGAAACGTAATCCCATTCAGATGACCCGTGTTACTTCCATAGACTAGTTAACTGTAGCGAATATAAGCTTAACTATAATATATATAACTTTTCAAAAATTGTATGAATAATAATAATAATAATAATAATAATAATTGCTTACACTTTTATAGCGCTTTTCTGGACACTCCACTCAAAGCGCTTTACAGGTAACGGGGATCCCCTCCACCACCACCAATGTGCAGCCCCACCTGGATGGTGTTTGTCCACTGAAACCACCCCCCAAAAATAAGGAAAATAAGGCCTAATAGAGGTTTGAACACTTAAAACCAGACCAGATTAATTTGATAGTTTGTTGCTTATTGATCCAAAGATCGCAGCTTGTTCCACACTCCCACCACGCTTTGTGTAAAGAGCTGCCTCCCGCCCACGGCTTCTCCGTAGTTTCCCCTGGTTCGTGCGGACTCCTGAACCCACGGTAACGCTTGGACGACAGATGATGCTCCTGCAGTTTGAATTCGGACGGAACCGATTTTGTAGCCTTTTGCCCCGTTTTCAGGACAAGACCTGCTGCTGGGAGTCTGGCGGTGAGCGCGAAGGTGAAACACTGTGTTTCTCGCCGCAAACTCTCGACGATTTTGGAAGCTTCCAGCAAACGGCGGAACTGACTCTCCCACATTTTATTTTTACAAACGTCGGCATCTGTTACCTAGAGGACCCGGGGTCTCTGGGCTGTAAGCAATGTTAAAGATTGGTGCCGCTGGTCGTAGCTTCCCAAACGACCCTCCCAGTGTTTCTGGGGCGCCGTCCCCAGTTTATTTCTCACGTTTTCGGCTTTAAGAACTGAGACCTGCTGGAGCAAAACAAAGAGCTCTTCTTCCCCTCAGGTTTCACTGGACGTTAAATAATACAAGACGGGGTATTTCAGGGCATGCCTTTTCCAGTTCTCATATACTGTATATATTGAGCGAAACGAGAGACTTTTGTTTTTGGTTTAAGCGGCGAAAACACATCACTCTGGATGTCAGCCCATACAGTTGTGTTTACAGCGTCTTGAGAGAGACCCGCAGTGACCCGCACTGAGCCTCACTGGCCTCTCAGCCACAGCAGCGCTTCTCAGCGCCCCGGTGCTCTGAAAACGACCCCGATGTTACGCAGATCGGTAAACAGATGAGTTGACAAACGTAACGCTATATTCAACTAACTCTTAATGCCTAAGAGCTGCGCTGGAAAACCGGACGCAGTTCATTGATTTGCACATTAAATGCTTAAAAACGACTGCGCTTGGTGAATGGGACTTAATAAAGCTAAACAAATTTCATATTTTGATTGAATACACAGAGAATCAGGAACCACTTTTTTAATCAGTTGCGCGTTTTTTTGCCTTATAAAACGGCTAAGCTAATTAGTGTTCCCCTATCCCAGGATGCCTAGCGGCAGTGCGCGGAAGCCGCGATGACATCACAATCCCTTAGTGACGTGCTGGAGTGCATCCCTTTACCGCCTAGCAACGGGAGGACATCACAATTTTCTTATACAGGATGTCACATAGACCCCGCCACCTCGCCAGTCGCCGGGGTATAAAAGGGGCCTCCTGTAGAAACCGGTTGCAGTTGATCGCACTCTGATTCGTGAATACGATTTGTGTGTTGTCTTCTGCCTATGGGTCAACGACACAGTGACCCAGGCAAGCCACTGGCTGCCACCCCACCAGACCCCCCCCCCCCGAGTGAGCCCAGATTCGCCAGGGGGAGGAAGAGGAAATTCCTCAGGAGAAGAGCCAAGGAGAAGGAGGAGGGAGATTTCCCTCTGTTCCTCCTGAACCTGATGACGGTGTTTGTCTGTTGCGGAGGTGTCTCTCCCGTAGAGAAGCCCAAATCCCGCACCCGCAAGGACGACACCTCGGCCACAGCGCCCCCCACGCCTGCCACCCCCACTTCGACCGGTAAGGAGGTTCTCCTATTAGCCTGAAGACTCTCAGCCCCCCTCCTGTGCTCCTCCAAGGCTCCTGGCTACAGTGTTTGTTTACCCAGGAGCCTCTCTCTGTCCTCCGTGTCAGTGACATTCTGCTCTCGTGCTGAATTCCAGACCCCGACGCAGAGGCACCCCCCAGCGCCCTCCCCGTCCCGGGGTCCCCCGAGGAAGATGGGGGTGACGGGGCCGAGGAAGAGGAAGTGATGGGGGTCCGGCCCGGCGAATCCGGGGACCGGACCGAGGACGCCGGCCCAGAGCCCGTCGGGGGCCCGACAGTGGTGAGTCGGTCCTGCCGCCTCAGCCGAGTCCCCAGATCCCACTCCTGACTCCTGAAAATGGAGGGTTCGGGCCTGGATGCGATCCCTGTCCGACCCCACGCTCCTCAACTCCTCTGTCCTGTCTCTGAACTCACAGCCCCCCGAGTCTCCCCCGGAGTCTCCCCCAGAGTCTCCCCCGGAGCCGCTGCCTGCGGACGAGAGACCCCCGGGGGCCCCACGATCGGTGGGCACCCAGGCCAAGGGGAGACGGACCAGACCGGAGACGGCGCCGGCCCGTGTTGGTGACCCCGCCCCAGCGCCAGGACCCTCTGCCAAAGTAAAGCCCCTTCGGAACCTCTCCTGGGTCTAACAGTGCATAACCTCCCAGCTCCTCCTGCGCACGGCCGAGCCGAGACACCCAGTCCAGAACAGTCGGTCGGTTCTGTATTCCCAATCCTGACCTGTCTCTCCTGGCCTTCCCCCTGTTTCCCAGGAATCCCAGCCGTTCCTGTGCCGCTCCAGCTCCAGCAGCCCGGTCACCATGTTTGGATCCTTCGCCTTCGACTGGCAGCCCCCCGGCGTCCCCTCGCTGCCGCTGGGCTGGGAGAAAGACGAGGAAAAGGAGCAGGGGGCGGCGGTCCGGACCGGCGAGCCGGAGCCGGACTCCGAGGACGCCAGCGTCTCCGAGGGGGCGGAATCTGCCCCCGCCGGAAGTGCCGGGCCCAGCTCCGAGGCCCCGAGCCTGGAAAGGGAGGGCAAGCTGTGAGCGCAGGGAGAGCGCCCCCCACAGGCTGCCACAGGAAGCACATGAAAATAAACATTTATTTCTGCACAAACTGAACGTGTAGTCCCTGTTTGGCTCTGGCTGCTGACACAGCTCTCTCACACCCGCAGGTTCTCTCACAAGGCCACAGTCTGCGCTCCAGACTCTTTATAAGTGGCCTCTCGCTCTCAGAGACCGGTCTGAAGGTGGGGTCCATTCAGCCCAGCTGCTCGGTCACCCCGCAGCTCCCAGATGGCAGCCCACTGCAGTCCAGCAGTGTGAGCCTGGCCACTACCTGGACGGGAGACCTCCTGGGAAAGCTCAACCTGGTGCTGGAAGAGGTGTTAGTGGGGCCAGCAGGGGGCGCTCACCCTGCAGTCTGTGTGGGTCCTAATGCCCCAGTACAGTGACAGAGGCACTAGAGTGTAAAAAGGCACTGTCCTTCAGACGATACATAAAACTGAGGTCCTGACTTTGTGGTCATTAAAAAATCCAGGGGTGTTTACTCGAAAAGAGTAGGGGTGTAACCCCGGTGTCCTGGCCAAATGTCCCCCAGGCCTTCACCAGTCATGGCCTCCTAATAATGCTGAAATGTTGATCATTGAAGCTTCCACAAGAGGGCACTCATCACTCAAACGTTTTTTCTTTCAATGGGATTAGAAATGTATACACGCCAAGTATTGCAGCAAAAAACACAAGACATCCGAATTGTGTAAAAATTCGAAAAACGAAGTTCTGTAAGAGCAGGACAGAAATTCTGTGGTAAAGGTACTCATTCTGTCTGGATACAGGAGCTGTGAGGATACAATTTTCTGAACCGTCTACATTTTGAAACCTCATTCATAAGCATTTCCATATCTACCTTGATCAAGTCTTAAAATAGTAGGAGACTTTAGGAAAATTGAATCTTTCTCTCCAACTGTCATCTCGGATTCTCAGCGTCTTGGACATGAACACATCCCTCCTTCATCAGACAGGAGAGATTTCGGGAGGCTGTGTCCAGCCCCAGCCGGCCCAGGAAGCACAAGACTCCACGCAGGACAGACCTGGAGACACTCCCCCTTCTGTTCATCTCTGCCAGCTCCCGAGTTCTGAGGAACAGTGTCGCCTCACTAATAAAGGGATGCCACACATTCCGAATTTAATTCTCACATCAGGATTTATTTGCATTTCTTCATTATTCCCAGCACTTGGAACACAGATCTTACTGCACGACAACACCCCATTTTTAAAAGTAAGACCAACAGTGCAAATAAAAGTCCTTTATTTCGGTTTCTAGATCCAAAGGCTTAAACTGTGTAAAAACATTGATTTTAGTGTTTAAATTTCAACCTTAAAAAAATTCAAACTGCTGTTCTGCCATGTCATGAATGCAGCCGATTCAGGTTAAAAAAAAAATAGGTTCTGCACCAAGAATGCATTTAACTTAATTGTCAGAAAACTAAGTTATTATCTGAATATCTGTCAATAAATAAACCGGTTTCTATGTAGCAGTATGAAAGATGAGATTCAACAGCTGCTAAAAAAGCATTTTGTATTTAAAAAAAGTCTAGGAAAAAATTCCCTCACCCTCCCCACCCCAAAAAAACCCCTTTGCTTCTCTGACCCGTTTGTAGCGCCTAGGTACCTCTTAATTAATCATTACATCCAGTAATAAACACAAAACTATTTTACATGTTAGTTACAAACTAAAGGGAGTAAAACAGAACCGGTGAGTGGGGAGGAGCTGTAACGATGCAGTATACACAGCAAGCCGGCCTTCCGAGCGCAGGAGCGAAACGGAAAACCGTCCAAACCAAACCATGTACACAGCTGGGGAGGAGGGGCATCACTGCCCGTATGTACAGAGTCTGTCAGGGCCAGCAGCGGGCAGGGGCCGGGGGGCCGGGGGGCCGCGCAGAGGAGCGTGCCAGAGGCGTTCTCCCACCCCACCGGAAAAAACAGACGGGAAGGAGGTGTCCGGCCTCAGACGTAGAAGAGCCGCACCCTGGAGGTGCTGACGAGCAGCTGGTCGTCGAAGAACTTGGTCTCAATGACGACGTTGCCGCTAGAGGGAAGAGGACAGGAAGGCAGTGAGACGTGACACAGACACAGACACAGACACAGACACAGACACAGACACAGACACAGACACAGACACAGACACAGACACAGACACAGACACAGACACAGACACAGACACCCCCCGTGCCCCGGACACAGACAGCTGCAGGGCAGCAGCACCTGGGGCACGAGCTCAGGATTCGCGATTGCAATTTTAAACTGAAGTTTTCTTTATTTCTAAAATCAGGATGATCATCTTTTCCTGACAATCAGGGATCCTGACCAGTCTGAAGTAGAGATCCATATACAGTGAGGAAACACAGGGCTACACTGTAGCCTGCATTTGCTATACAAATACACTTATTCCCACCCCCAGAAATAATCCATTTCCAGCAACCAGGAAACGGAACGCGCAACGATATTATGGGTTTTCATCAAACATTTCAATAAAGGAAAAAAACAACAAAACAATTCACCACTCTACTCAGTGTCCCAGAAGTTTTACATAATGCGGTAAGAAAAACGGCTTACGTTAAAACGTTGGCTGGCATCATCTGGGACTCTGGGGCTGCTTCTATCAAGGACTGCCATGTATTTGTAGAGTTAGGAATCACAAAGCCAAACTCAAAGAACCACTCTGTAGGAGGAAAGACAGAGCTGAAGGCCATGACTGTCTCTGGGCCTACTGTAACCCCCTACAAACCATCCACACACCATAAACAGTTTCCCGGCCAAAACACATTGAGGACGACCAGAGCTCAGGTCCAGGGTTCTGCTCTCTATAATGTGAAGGGGAAAGAGCTGACCTGCAGTTTAACTGCATTCAAAGGACAGTACTCCATTGTGTTTTGACCATACGGCCAACAGCCTTTTTACAGGTTGTGCAGACTTGAGACAGAACACAAGCCTGGTCTTATATAATGGTCCACTCCGTCATTTATAATTGTGTCCTTTACTGGAAATCTATTGTAGAAGGAAAGGTTTCCAAAGGCAAGCTATTAAGCTAAAAAAAACAAATCCCACATGGGATCAAGCGAAGCTGCACAAAAACTATTTCACGCAGGGGTTTTGTTTTCACTCCATGTAGGCATTCTCTCCAAAAGAAAAAAGGAAGTTGCCTTAGGAGGATGATACAGAAATGTTCATTCCCTGGGGGTGTGTGCAGGGTTGCTGGGTGAATAACCGCAACATTGTGTAACGGCACAACACGATTCTTACAGTAGCCAGATGAAAGCCCATATCTGACTGCGAGCTGTAAAGAAGCCCTTGCATGGGCTTATAAACCTCTTAAGCAACATAATGTGAACCAAGAATACCAGTTAACCTATAGAAACTACATACCCGGTTAAAAACAACTCTGTGTGCGCAAGAGTTGCCAAAAATTGGGAAAACAGATGGAGTTATAGGTTATTTCTTGACTGGCCACATTCACATACTTTATTGTATGCATTGCATTCATTAGGCTTATCTAGGGTGCTCAAGAAAGCATTCTCAACAGCTGAAATATAAAGGATACTGTATGAAGGGAATGGACACGTGTGAGAGTGTATCCCTGTGCACCGGAAAGGTGCCTGCAGCCGTCATGTGGAGCTGCGCGCCTCACACACACGGCAGGGCTCTGTGCTCCAGAGCGGCGGACAAAAGCCAAGCGACAAAGGAAAGCAGAAGTACCTTCTAGGCACTGTCCTTTGAAATAAACCTTTTGTTCAAGCCTGAACTTTTCCATTTGCTCTGCGGAGGAGAAGTTTAACTCTCGGGAGACTGCTTTGCACTTCAGGATCTTCTTGGGGACCCGAGCTGCAAAGAGCAGAAAAGGGTGGTCAGGCCGGCGATGGCGTTCAGGCTCATGTGCCTCTTGCCAAGCGTCACTCACTGCAGAGAGGGGAAACCTGTCTGTTCATTTACACCTGAATTGCACAGGACATTTAAAAGGCAAGCAGTTTCAGAGGAAATGCGTTTTAAAAATTCAAACTTAAATTAGAATTTTAAGACTCGCAAATAAACATATTAGCAGTGTTATTTGGGTCAGATCACTTTATTGGCCATTTACAATTTCTTGCATTAGGAATTTGTCTTCTTGCAGACCCCAGCTCACAGACAGGGAGAGAAGCTGGGGGTCAGAGTGCAGGGTCAAACATTTATATGGCACCCCCGGAGCAGTTGGGGTGAAGGGGCTTGCTCAGGGGCTCAACAGAGTAGGATTCCTCTGCCGGCAGTGGGATATGAAGAACCTTCCAGCCACAGGCGCAGATCCTGAGCCCCAGAGCAACTGCACCGCCCGGGGGCTATTTAAGGGTTAGCTAGAGCTACGGATGGCCTACAGACTAGACGCATCTTCAGGAATTACCCAGCATTCTCGGAACGGCGATGTTACCTTCATGCTCCACTCCCGGAACGGAAAGGTCCTCCGTTCCTTGCCAAAGCACCTTCCCCGTCTCGGCATCTCTCAAGTTCATCCAGTTTCTGGCAGGGAGTTAACGTCAAAATAACGAGAAACGGTTCACGTGCAAACCAGTCTCCTTCAACGGGCGACACGAACTTTTCCCAATCGTATCGGAAAACTGCGAGCCCCACGCCAGACTCTGTGTTGTCAAGAACAGGGGGACACAGTCGACTCAGTAAGGAACAACAGACAAGTTACACAATTCAGAGGGTCAGAGAACTGTTCCTTAACACCACCCACAAGTAGCGAGAATGAAAACATACAGTGAAACTGAAGAATAAGGCTGGGCACTTCATTCTGCTCTTCACAAGTTCCTTTCACCTACCAGTGCCTGCCATTCAGCTCCAAACCTGCTCAAGGGGACTATATGGAAAAAATCTGTACAGCTCCACACCTTCACCTCTATACAACGAGCTTGCTAAATATGGGCAAACATTTACAGTGAGAATTCACAACCACGTTTGATTTGAATTCTCAAGAACCATAATATACACACGGAAACAATTTCCCAAAGCAATCTCATACCTTCTATAGCATCACCCTTATTTACTGAACATTAACATAAGCCGAAGGATGTGTTCAGAAAGACGACGGGCGATGTGGAGTGTACTGCTAAACACAGCTGCAGATCTCTCAACAGGAGCGGAGACTTAAGTCTTCGCTTCCATGAGAAATCCTGGTTAAAAAGTACCTCTTACTCAAGTACTACGTTAAGTACTACTGCATTTAGTTAATGATGCTTTTATTGATTAAATCAGCCGCAAAACCTAGTCAAGCAAAAGTCTTTCCACAGCTTTACCACACTTGTGAGACAGCTGAGCTTGCTCAAATCGTGGGGCTCTCGGCAGCTGGGGTCTCGAGGTGCCAACAACACCTTCCCAGCTCCCACAGCCTCCTGCTGCACCACAGGGTACGACTCCAGACTAATGCCCGAAACAAGCAGGCTAGAGCAAACCATGCAGCTGGTGTCGAGACGCATCACAATATTGACGTAAGGCTGAAGGCCTCCCGGCTGTTATTGTTGAAATGCAGGAGTACAGATGCTTGTTGATCTCGCGAAACAAAGGTTTCTGACAACCCCTGGTACTTGCTGTCTCTGACACCTGATGAGCCTGCTCCTTGCCATCTGTGTGCGTCTCGGCGCACAGCCCCTCATGAATACACAACTCTGTGTGTCAGCCACAGCCTCTGCAGGACGACACCATCTAAAACCCCATTTCTCCGAGAGCCTCAGGCACACAGTGAAGAACTGCATCTTACTCAGAACGTTAGGGATTGATCAGACATACAGTATTTTAACAAGTTAATCGTAACTTCTGCCTATATATATATACGAACTTGATTTAAATGTTTGGTTCAACGAATGCAAAGACGACGACTTAGGAAAGTGTCTAACATCTACATTGCCAACAGTGAGCTCTGAAAGAGTGAGAGGCAGCCGTGGGGAGTAATGCACACTGGTGAGAGCCCTGGAAGGCTGTGGGTTCGAATCCTGGTGGGGCTGCTACTGCTACTGCTGCTATTATGGACCCTTGCGCGAGGCGCTCTGGGCGGCAGGAGTTGGGAACTTCTTTACGCCAAGGGTAGTGGGAGAAGGGCACACGAGCGGCCTCCCAGCCATGCTGCTGAACCCCAAACCCTGGTGTCTTTCAAGAAACAGCTGGGAAGGACTGTCAGACCAATTAGATTCCAACAACCAAGACAAACAGGAGGGGCTAAAGGGTGTCCTCTCGCCTGTTACCATTCCTCAGATTATGCAGCACATGTCCATATTGCCCTTTCATAGGGCAGCACATAAAGACAGATCTGGTTTAAATGGCAGAACTAGTCAAAAAAAACAATTGCTTGTGCTTCTGATATCATCAACCTTAATCGTTTGTTAAACTTAAATTAAGAGTACACTTTGTTACATCATTGTCTAAAGTGGCTAGGATTGGAATCAAAGAAAAATAAACCCCATGCATAGGAGGTCAACACATTCTTCTGCAATAAACACTTTCCCAAAAGGTATTTCCTGGAACTGTTTAAACTATCCCTCTATACTGCTTCCTCAATGATCTAATCAGTATTAGCAAAGAAGCAGAAAATATTTTTATAATGGACCTGCAGCTAGTAAAAGACATTACAGTTTGCCTTTTACTTCAAAACCCCTCTGGCTGGAGAAGAAAAAAATGTGCAGGAGACAATAAGACACCGTGCAAAGCATGGCAGAGCTGAACTGCCGTTTCCTCCTCTTGAATCGATGACTAGAACACCGTAAAGCTTCCCGAGGGTCAACCAATGATCATGCCATGCCTACGACACCGTCGAGCATCTGGCAGGTTAACCATTCTGATTGAGGAGGGTCAACGCGACTAACTGCTCTTGAGTTTTGACCGTGAGCTTGCAAGACAGGCATCGATCACTTTGAATCACACGAGTGGCCTGGAGCTTCTGCTCAGTCCCCGAAGCTCTGGTGCTTTGAAGTCGACGAAGACACTGCAGTTCTGCACTCCCAGCAGTAAGGTCTGCCAGTTACCTCTGAGGTGCTGACCGTCCTTTCTACATGGATCCATGCGATTACGGTAATGCTCCGATACAGAAGGATATGGATATGGACCCAACTGGGTATATGGTGCAGATATTCACTGCAATTCCATCAATGAATCCAAAAGGAGATGCCTTTCAGGACCCTGTGCTGCCGATATATTTGTTCGCTGTCACTGCAGCTCTGAAAAGGGATCCAAGGCTCATTCCTAATGCACTTTTAAATTCCCCCTGACAGGGTCGACACGATCCCTCCTACCATGCACACGGTGAGCAGCAGTGAGAGGGCATCCTGTGCAGCAGAGAAGGACACTGCTCACGGCACGACCACCAGCCCCACGGTGGTAATTAGTCCGCTGGGAGCGGCTCTTTCCAAGAGAGAAACTCTCCTCATGCGAGGGCTTGAACGGGCTCCGACACACCTCCCCATCGCCGAAAGAAAGAACTGCCAGGATAGTACAGCACCCCAAGCAAAGAGCCTGCATCATCTGCATCACGAGATGGCGAGATGAAAAAACAGATCCCCGCGCTGCACTGAAAGCTCCACGGCACACAAACCGGGGGCCTTGTTTCCTTGTCACATTCTGGACTTTGCTAGTGTACTCGGGTCCCAGACACCGAGTCTGGACACTGATGCAGAAGGAATTAACCCTTTTAAGAACTGATTAACAACACAAAAGAGTGGTGCTGCTCTGGTCCCCAAGATGAGCATACGGATCGGATTGATTTTATTGATTTTTCTTACAGGAGACGAGTCCAGTATGTCCACAAAAGTCCTTGGGAAGCACATCTCTAAAAAAACTACTGCTCCTCATTGTTTTTCTTCAGAAATGGAAAACATGAAGACTAACGGAATCTGCACCCCTCTTGCACAGAATGAAACGTTCGGGCTGGCCAGGACACGACCACACTCGCCACGCGCCCGCGAACCCCTGTTCCAGATGAGCCCGAAGCCATGACTCTCACTTCACCGGTCTACACGAACCAGCACTGAGCAGCTCTCTTCCTCAGCCATGACCTGCAAACACCACTGCACACATCACTGCACTCCAGACAAGCAGTGGCTGACTGGAGTCTGATGAAGACCCTCTTTTCCCAGCCTCTGTGCGATGCCCCTAACTGGAGTGATCTGATCCAGTCATGTGCCGATTTTGGCACTCTGCTCTAGCTGCCCCTGCAAACTCAGGATGCACACAGAAGCCCAGATATAACCACAAGCAAACCTTCGGCTGGATTCCAGGCAGACAGAGCTCTTATTAAGGGGACCAGCAGCTTTAAAAACAACTCGTGCTCTATTCCAGTTTGGACAGAATTGTGCATTTGGCCAAATCAATTCACTTCTGATGCACTGCTGCCCAGGAGCCAGCGCAGTAACTCATGACTCTTCCCCTCTCAAGGGGATCAAACCGGTACAAGAAGCACAATCCAAAACGATGCAGTTCCTTAGCAGAAGACTCCTCCGAACTGGGAGACCACTGTGATCTGAGCCACCGCCCAGACTCTTCTCTCAAGCAGCAGACGGGATTAAAAGCTTGCTCACAGGTGCACACGTCTCCACCTGAGGCCTAAGGCACGGGTTACAGCTGGCCATCCAGGAAAAGGTCTGGATAAGGGCTATGGAGTGGCCATGAAAGGCAAAATTGTTACAAACCAGATGCCTCTTGCACTTCTAGTTTTCCACCCCAGTTCTGATAGTGTTGGTCTGGAATCAATCCAGGGAAGAGTAACCGGATTCACTGTGGGACATCAGGGGATATACACCGACAGGCGTATATTCAGAGCTCAGGCATTTTAGCTTCGAACAGTGAAGAATATACGGGACCCGACTCAAAACAGTCAAAGTCAACGCAGCAGGCGTCTGCAGAATCAACAGTGAAACATGAAGCAGAGAACGCCGGTGGGAACCACATGGAACGATATCAAGAACGCCAAGAACAGCAGAGGCGTGACCCTGCTGGCAATGGGACTTGGGAAAAGCAGTCCGGCCATGCTGTTGAAGCTGATACCCTGGCTTCTCGCAAGAAGCAATGGATGAGCCTTAAATCTATTAGCCACTGGCTTCTGTAGTAACAGCCAAACGGGCCTCCTCTCATCTCCTCTCGCCTTTCTCACCCTGACTCCTCCCGACCAAGGCTGGCACAAACACACACAGCAAGCCATCCTGCATTACTGAACTTGGAGAAGCTCTTAGACCTGCAGGAGACTGCTGCAATGTTTGAATGTCCATGCCATGCTACAGTATATTTCTTAGCCATGTTAATTCAGTGTACAAAATGTGCTGGCCCCTTGAAGACTGGGGTACAGGCTGTAATTTTGTGACAATCACGCTTCTCCAAAGTGATGGAGGCGACACTCACCAAGCCAACACGTGGTAAATAAGAGCTGATAAAGCACCACAAGACGGCGAGACCCCCAGAACAGGACTCGGGCTGCCTGCCCTGAACACCGCAGGACAAGCTGGGGCCACTGCTGAAGAGAGGAGGTGCAGCAGGGCCAAGGAGCACCTCCTTAGAAACAGAAGACTTCAACTGCCCGAAAACAGAACCTGCAGAACACACCTTGCCTCTTGCACACATTCGCTCCTAATGCTCTGGTCAGAAGTCAGAGCCAGCCACAGACACACGGAGAGCCAGCCAAGCTCCAGGGAGAGCCAGTCCACAGACACACGGAGAGCCAGTCCACAGACACACGGAGAGCCAGCCAAGCTCCTGGGAGAGTCAGTCACAGACACACGGAGCCAGTCCAAAGACACACAGAGAGCCAGCCAAGCTCCAGGGAGGGCCAGTCACAGACACACGGAGAGCCAGCCAAGCTCCAGGGAGAGTCAGTCACAGACACACGGAGCCAATGAGGTTTGCCAGGCCTTTCTAATGGTAAACTGCTGTTACAAGAAAATCAGAGGGGAAACAGAGGTGACTGTAAGGGGGAGGCTGTGTTCATGTTCACGGAAACTTAGAGGCCTTGGTGCAAAGATGCACTATAGTGACCCTACAGACTCCTTCAACAACAGCAGACAAAACAACTCAATAGGAGATCCCTGAACATTATCTCAAGGCCGGCCACAATACAATATTCTACAAATGCATCCATTAACTTTCCTCACTAACACATTAGAAGAAAACCTCTCTTACTAACTAAACTATACAGAGTATTAAAAAAATATTCCAAACATTAATGGAGCATTATGCAATGACTGGAAAACAATTAGACTGGTGCATGATGATACCCAACTAAAACCTCTCAACACCAAACTCTGCACAGTTACATGAACATTGATATTCCTTGACAGAGACTAGATGTCTAATACCATCTTTCCAACTTCACAGTAAAACAACCACCCAAGAAACACTCCTGCATACTAATTTGATGGTGTAGCTGGTACTGAGCAGAAGCCAGGATTCTCTCCCAGCTGAGCCTCATGTGAGTCCTGTTATTCTTCAACCCTCAAATTGACCCACAGTACATTGCATCCCTTGTCATAGTGCTGCTCCTGTTAGCTGGGATGAGATCAGATTCCGAGAGGAAAAGTCTCCCACGATGCAGCAAGGTAACATCTTACTTCCTAGAATACCGAGAATTTTGACTAAGGCCTGAGCCTTCTCCGAACTTCAAGAACAAAAACGGCACCAGTAGAGGTAACCAAGCACAGCAGGTGGCACAGATACGATACGGCCAGGCCGCAGTTAAAGCCATCAGTGTCGACTCCTTGAGCTCCTGCACGCCAGTGACGAGCACAGTGAAGGGCCCTGAAAGACCAAGTGCCGGCAGGAGGCAGTAGCCGTTACGGAGCACAGAGACCCAACCCAGAGCTCAGAGAGAAGCAGGCTCCGACATGCTGCCGGTGGCCGCCTGTGTCCAGAAAAGACGCTTCATCAGCGGCGCCGGGTCAGCGGAGACGAAAAGGACCCGATGCTCCCCTTCCTTTCGATACCGCCGGACTTTCAGAGTCCGATTTCTCCCCGGTCTCCCAGAGTTCGAGAACACAAATGCTTCCTCTCCCCTCCTCCCCAAGCTCTGCTTCAAGCCAAACATTTTCGACAGCTCTCGGAGAGACAGAGCGGGCCCTTCGGGGCCCTCACGAGTGGCACTGCCCCGCAGGCAGAGCCGCTCCCCCTCCCCAGGA